TTGCTGGGACTGATTTTAATTGTCCAGGTGTGACGTATTTGAAGAGTTATCCATCACCTTCAAATCACAGACTTTTCCACCCCTTGCTGAGCTGCTAGAAATCCCTCAGAGAGTCATTATCTTCTCCCTTCATGCCTCTTCCAAACAAGTATAATAAGCTCTCTGATTTTTAGGTCATTAACACCTGAGGGAGAATTAGGTTTTTTTTTTTTTTTTAAATACAGGCCTTTCTTTGGTCCCTTTGGTATCAGAGGGCTCTTGAGACTAGTGGGCATTAGTGGGAAGGAATGATATGGAAGGAGTGGTGGAAAGAAAGAACACCAAGAGGGGTCAAAGGTGCAAAGAGGTGGAATCAAAATCATTGCCACTGAGTAGATTCAGACTTGTAGTGACCCTAAAGAACAGAGTAGAACTGCCCCATAGGGTTTCCAAGGCTGTAAATCTTTATGGAAGCAGACTGACACATTTTTCTCCTGTGGAGCCACTACAAAAAAAAAACAAAAAAACCAAACTCACTGTTGTGGAGTCGGATCTGACTCATAGTGACCCCTCCTTGGGTTTCCAAGGCAGTAACACTATGGGAATAGAATGCTCAACCTTCCTTCTGAGGAGTGGCTAGGGGATTTGAACCGCCAGCCTTCTTGTTAGCAATCAAGTGCCTTAGGCATTATGCTGCCAGAGCTCCTGTGGAGCCACTAGTAGGTTCAAACTGCTGATTTCTTGGTTTGCAGCTGAGCACTTTGACCACTGCACCACCAGGGCGTCTAGTAAAGGGGATTGTCGTTATTGTTGTTAGGTGCCATTGGGTTGGTTCTGACTCATAGTGACCCTATATACAACAGAACAAAACACTGTCCTGACCTGTGCCAGCCTCACAATCCTTGCTATACCTGAGCCCACTGTTGCAGTCCACCTTATTGAGGGCCTTCTCCTTTTGCACTGACTCTGCACTTTACCAAGCATGGTATCCTCCGGGGAATGGTTCCTTTCTAAGAACATGACCAAAGTAGGTCAGATGACGTCTGCCCGTCTCACTTCCAAGGAGAATTCTGGCTGCACTTCTTCAGGACAGATTTGTTAGTTCTTCTGGCAGTCCATGGTACTTTCAGTATTCTTTGCCAACACCACAACTCAAAAGTATCAACTCTTCTTTTGTCTTCTTTATTCATTGTCCAGCTTTCACAAGCATATGAGGCGATTGAAAACACCATGGCTTGGGTTAAAAAAACAAAAAACCCAAACTTGCTGCCACTGCTATAGTAAAATCCAACTCTTGTGACCCCTCCTTGGGTTTTCAAGGCAGTGTCACTATGTTGCCCATTCTTCCTTCTGAGGAGTGGCTGGTGGGTTTGAACCACCAGCCTTCTGGTTAGCAGTCAAGTGCCTTAGGCACTTAGGTGCACCTTAGTCTTCAAAGAGGCATCTTTGCTCTTTAGCACTTTAAAGAGGTCTTTTTTTGCAGCAGATTTGCCCAGTGCAGTATGCTATCTGATTTCTTGACTGCTGCTTCCATGAGTGTTGATTGTGGAACCAAGTACTATGAAATCTTAGACAATTTCATTCTTTTCTCCACTTATTATGATCATGCTTATCAGTCCGGTTGTGAGGAGTTTTTTTTCTTTATGTTGAGGTGTAATCTCTACTGCAGACTGTAGTCTTTAATCTTCATAAGAAAGTGCTTCAAGTCATTTTCACTTTCAGCAAGCAAGCTTGTGTCGTTTGCATATTATAGGTTGTTAATGAGCCTTCTTCAAATCCTGATGCTGTGTTCTTCTTCATATAGTCTGGCTTCTTGGATTATTTGCTCAGCATACAGATTGAATAAGTACGGTGAAAAGATACAACCCTGATGCTCTTCCCTTCCTGATTTTAAACCATGCAGTATCCTCTTGCTCTTTTCAAACAACAGCCTCCTGGTCTATGTACAGGTTCTTCATGAGCACAATTAAGTGCTCTGGAATGCCCATTCTTCTGAATGTTATCCATAATTTGTTGTGATCCACACAACTAAACGTTTTTGTGTAATCAATAAAACAGATGGAAACATCTTTCTGATATTCTTTGCTTCAGCCAAAATCCATCTGACATCAGTATTGGTACAGTGACTCTGTGTATTCCTTTCATCTTCTTTTGATGCTTCCTGCATCAGTCAATATTTTACCCAGAGAATCTTCCAATATTGCAACTCGAGGCTTGAATTTTTCCTTCAGTTCTTTCCGCTTAAGAAATGCTGAGCATGTTCTTCCCTTTTGGTTTTCTAACTCCAATGACTCCAAATGTCTTTGCACATTTCATTATAATAATTGACTTTGTCTTCTTGAGCTGCTCTTTGAAATTTTTTGTTCAGCTCTTTTATCTTGTCAGTTCTTCCATTTGCTTTAGTTACTTTCCATTCAAGAGCAAGTTTCAGAATCTGTTCTGACAACCATTTTGGTCTTTTCTTCCTTGCTGTCTTTTTAATGACCTTTTACTTTCTTCACAGATGATGTTCTTGAGGTCATATCACAATTCCTCTGGTTTTCAGTCATTGGTGTTCAATGCATCAAATCTATTCTTTAGGTGGTCTCTAAATTCAGGTCAGATATAATCAAGGTCATATTTTGGCTCTCATGGACTTGTTTTAATTATCTCAGCTTCAACTTGAACTTGCATATGAGCAGTTGATGGTCTCTTCCACGGTCAGCTCCTGGCCTTGATTTGGCTGAAGATATTGAGCTTCTCCATCACCTCTTTCCACAGATGTAGTCAATCTGATTCCTGTGTATTCCATCTGTTGAAGTCTTTGTGTATAGCTGCCATTTATGTTGTTGAAAAAAGGTATTTGCAATGAATAAGGTGTTGATTTTGCAAAATTTTATCATGTGATCTCCAGCATCATTTTTATCACCAAGGACATATTTTCTGACTACTGGTGATTCTTCTTTGCTTCCAACTCTTGTGTTCCAATCATCAGTAATAATCAACACATCTTCATTGCATATTTGGCCAATTTCAGACTGCAGAAGTTGGTAAAAATCTTCAATTTCCTCACCTTTGGCTTTAGTGGTTGGTGCATAAATTTGAATAATAGTAGTATTAAGTGATCTTCCTTGTAAGGGTATGGATGTTATCCTATCACTGACAGCAATTTACCTCAGGATAGATATTGAAACATTCTTTTTAATGATGAATGCTACACCATTCCTCTTCAGTGTGTCATTCCTGGAATAGTACATCATATGATTTCTAATTCAGAATGGCCCCAAACACTCTATTTCAGCTCACAAAAGCCTAGGATATGGATCTTTATGCATTCCATTTCATTTTTGACAACTTCCAATTTTCCTAGAGTCATACTTCATACATTCCATGTTCCAATTATTAGTGGATATTTGCAGCTTGTTCTTCCCATTTTGAGTTGTGCCACATCAGCACATGGAGGTCCTGAAAGCTTTACTCTATCCATATCATTAAGGTCAACTCTACTTTGAGGAGGCAGCTCTTCACCAGTCATATTTTGAGTGCCATCTGACCTGAGGGGCTCATCTTCTGGCACTATATTGGACTATTGGACAGTGTTTCAAGGCTATTCATAAAATTTTCCAGTAATATATGAGACAGTGTTTCACTGCTATTCATAAGGTTTTCACTAGCCAATTCTTTGAGAAATGGATGGCCCCTTCCTTCTTCCAAGTCTGTCTTAGTCTGGAAGCTCTGCTGAAACCTGTCCACCATGGGTGACCCTGCTGGTATTTGAAACACCCATGGCATAGCCTCCAGCCACACAATAACACACAAGGTACCACAGTGTGACAGACTGATAGACGAATGGTGGCAAAGGGGATTAGGAGCTCCAAAAACAACATTCTCTAAGAGCAGAATTTTGTGAGGCCAGCGTTGTTCCTGGGGTTCATTTTTCTTTCCACTGGGAGTGAGTAGAACTTACCAAGACTGACAACTCATGGAGATCATCATAGGTCTCTGGGGTCAGATAGACCTAGTACCCATGGCTCTGCCATTTATTGGGTGTGTGATCTTGACCTTTTCAGTCTCCTCATTGCCAAGCAAAGATAGAAGTAAACTGCCTCTAGTCTAGCAGAGAAATCAGAGCAGAGGGAAACAGTTGGTCAAAAATGCCGTCTAGTCCTCTCCCCCCAACCTCATGATTTGGTTACATTGAGCAGTTTTAACTTTGAACATTCATAATAGGAAAAGGGGTTTATTTAATGAATGATGTGGACAAAAGCCAGAAGCAGAAGAGTGTACCCTTGACCTCCTGTATTCCTTATTTCTCACCAGGTAGGATATACTCTAGCCCTCATGAGAGTTGTGGCTAGGGACAGAGGTGGCATTGGTGACCTCACATGGACAAATTATCACTTGTCTGCTGATGGCTCCCTGTTTGGGTGGTTGTGACACGGGGAGCTGTAGAATAAGCAAATGTGCATGGCCTGCTGTGTCCCATTCTCACACCAGCCCCAGCCCTGCTTTAGCCCCCTACTTGGGCCTCCAGCCTCTCTACGCTGCTCTTGCTCTCACTGGCTCATTGCTTCCTAAGATCCAGCCAGATGAGTAGAATTAAATGATTACTTGCACAGTGATTTAAACTAATAATAGCTAATATATATAGCACCGAATGGTATTATAATTAAATACTGTGGCAACTGTTAGAAAGGCTGAATTCTGATTCCCAATGATGTAGGGGTCCAACCTCAGCCTTCCGTGGGGCTACATATATTAGGAACAAGCCTGACTCCAGTGTCTCTACCTTCCCCTCCCCTCCTATGTCTATCAAACTCTGGCTTTATAGCGGCTGATTGGGCTACCATCTTGCTTTCCTTACCTGGTTCCCCTTTAGTGCCCACTCCTGATTTGACCTATAGATAATTACATATAATTCTGCAAAGGTTTTGTTTAAATGCCAAGTTACCTGTAATTCCCAGTATTAGCCTCTCTGATGTGGATCTTAAGAGAAAAAACAAACCAAGGCAAAACTTTGATTTTGAAAACCTTGTCTATTTCACAATATCTTGCAGATCTGTTCCACACTCCTGTTCAACACTTGGAAGAAAAATTGCTGCTCTGTATAACAGTTTTACTAGTAAACCATTAAAAGAACACATTTTCCCTCCTTTGATGGACATGCTAATTTTTTTAAACTTTTGTAAGTATATACCTTTCATGAATTTGCCTGTAGTTTCCTGGCCACCCCCCAAATAAAGAATTTACTGCTTTTAAAGTTGTGATGTGATATAATGAAAAAGACATGCCAATGACAAAATTGTCTTTGGGGAATAAATGGTCTGAAAACTATTTATTATTGATGTTGTGGCCTAAAAATGGTCCCTGGGTGGCCCAAATGGTTTGTGTTAGGTGGTTTGAACCCACCCTTTGGCATCGTGGAAGAAAGGCCTAGCAATCTGATCCCATAAAGATTACAACCAAGAAAACCCTATGAAGTAATCCTACTCTGTAACACAGGGAGTTACCATGAGTCAGGATCAATTTGATGACAACAGGTTTTTTGTTTGTTCATTTTTTGCATTAATCCTTGCACACTATTGGGGACAGATAGAAAAGTATGGCTTCGTGGATGGGATTCCAACTCAAATCAGCTTTTACATCAGCTGTGTATATGGATACCTAATTGCTTGTATTCTCTGCTTTTCTCCCTTCTTATTGCCTACATCCCTTGGAAGTGATTGGGAGAGGAGGAGCTGATGTGAGGAGTCTGTTTCTCCCCCCAGTTTTTCTGTTGAGCGACATGTTAGTCAATGTAACATACAATCCTTGTAGTGCATGGGTAACGCTCTTACCTGCATGTCTCCAGGTGTATGTTGATCCTGGACATTTCTTGGCTTATGGCTAATGATTTGATTTTACTTAGTGAAAAAATAATGCTGCATTTAAGTAACAGACCTTTTTGGTGGAATAATCTCTGCTTTTAGCTTGAGTCAGGGATAAGGATTGAATAAACTCTTATGGGTAACCACACTGGTGGCATTTTGAAAACTAGCTGTAGGTTTTTTTCTGCTCTTGCAACTCTTCTGCTGGCTAATTTTAGTTTATAAAATAAAATGTTTTGCTAGGAGTTAAGTGTAGTAACTTACAAATTAGAAATATATTGATCATAAAGACTAATTTTTTTGGATTTTAATAAAAAGACATAGGCCTCTGGAAGTTGATAACAATGTCTACTTTCTAGTCAAAGCACCATACCTTGTGGATTTAAAGAAACCGGAGACAAAGATTGCTCACACAGTGAACTTCTATCTTAAAGTGGAACCTCGGGTGATGCTGGGAATCTGGTGAGTGCAGCGGTTGGACCTTGGGTTGCTTTATGGATAAGGTTCCTGTGTTATGAGGTCAAAGGCAAGCAGTGTCATGTTACTTGCCTATGGAGAGTGGTGCTACTTGAAGACACCTGGAAGTTTTTCAATATACCTTTTTTTATATATTGAAATTTGACCTGGTTGATTTTGCTTTCAAGAAATTTTACTTTGGCGTATGAAGCCTTTTTAGAACTTTTCCTTTTCTTTGAGTCTTTCACCAGGCCTCAAGGACCTGGCCCTGCCCACTCTCCTGCTTACTCCATACCACCTTTTCCCTCACAGTCTACTCCAGACATGCTGGCTTCCTTGGATGGTAAGCCACATGCTGCCGGGATATGCTCCATCTGGGACATTTCTCTCTCTCTGCTTCCTCCCCTCCCTCCTCCTGTGTAGCTAACTGCCTACTTACCTTTTTGTTGTTGTTAAAACGTGCATTGAGTCTGAGTCATGGTGACCCCACGGAAAGCAGGATGAAACACTGCCCGATCCTGCACCATCCTCATAATTATTGCTATGTTTGCACCCAGAGTTGCAGCCAACATGTCAATCTATCTTGATTAGTCTTCCTCTTTTTCACTGGCCCTCTACTTTACCAAGCATGATGTCCTTCTCCAGGGACTGGTCCCTCCTGATAACATGGCCAAAGGACAAAAGACTAAGTCTCATCATCCTTGCTTCTAAGGAGCATTCTGGCTATAATTCTTCTCAGACAGATTTGTTCATTCTTATGGAAGTCTGTGGTATATTCAGTATTTTTCACTCACACCATACAAAGGCATCAGTTCCTCTTCGGTCTTTCTTATTCTTTGTGCAGCTTTTGCATGAATATGATGGGGTTGAAAATACCATCTTGGGTCAGCATGCCTTAAACCTCCTCTTTTGGGTCTTATTAAATAGACATTTTCATAGAGGCTTTCCTTCATCTGCTATTTTAGGTATATGCTCTCATGGCAATCTGTGCTTGACCTTCACAACATTTATTCTCACTGTAATTAAATATATGTTTGTGTGATTATTTGGTTCATACTTGTCTTCCTTGCTGAACTGTATCTTCCATAGGTTAGAGACTGTTGTTGGGTTTTTAAGGCTTAGCTCAATGCTTGGCATATAGAAGCCAGTATTTAGATATCTATCTTTTTTTTGCTATGCTGATCTCAGTATTTTCTTTGGTTTAGTTCTGCTGCATGTTCTTGGTTGCCAGTTTCCCAGTACCTCATTTTATATTTCATCTTCCTGAGTTTAAACATCTGATTATGAAATGAGACAGTAAAGACTCATATGGTGTCTTAATTTGCAGGGGACAGTTTAGCTCATAGTGTTGGGATTTGAAAATATTATTCTCTATTCTTGCCCCATTGGTCCTCTGCTTGGCAAGTCAGCGATCCTCATCATGATTGGCTCATCTAGCCTGCAGTGCTGTCGATATTCCCAGATTTTTACCTCAGAATGATTGAGGGTACTGAGATTTATCACCTCTCGGCTAGTTCCCCGAGTCCCTTTGGGACCTGTCATATGGCAACATTTACATTTTCAGAGGTCATTCACTGATTTAACAAGATAGAAGAACTAGAGCTCAGAAGTGTTTAAAATTTCAAGGTCACTTGGTTTCTTGAGTAAAATAACTTAGCTTTATGTTATTATTTTTTTCTCCAACATATACTGGTTACCCTTTAAATTCTTTCCAACTTGTCTATTTGGGTAAACTGATGGCAGATATCAAATATTCATTATCTCTTGCTTGTCTTCACCCATTTCTGTTATTTCAGTTTACTAAATCTGAAAATTTCAGTTTTGGAAGACTGATGGGTGTAAAAGTCAGAAGAGCTAAAACAATTAATGGTTAAAGGAGGTTGTACATGGGAGAGGTGGGGTAGGGAAGTGGTGGTTTTTGTTATAAGATATTTTGTGGTGTTAGATTTTTATTTTTACTATATAAATATATTACTTAGATAAGATTTATATATACTATGTCCCACACTTGGGAGCTCTGGTAGTGTAGTACCTAAGGCATTTGACTGCTAACCAGAAGTCTGGCATTTCAAACCCATCAGCGACTCTTCGGAAGGAAGGTTGGGCAATCTATTTCTGTAGTGATACCTCCTCGGAAACCCAAGGAGGGGTTGCTGTGAGTTGAATACAACTCGATGGCAATGTTTTTTTTTTTTTTTTTGGAAAACCCCCACACACACACATACACGTGTGTGTGTGTGTATTTGTATATACTTATGTATAAGAGCATGTGATATATCCATATATGTCTCAGAAATAGGCACATAAATGAACATACATGTACATATATGTGTGTGTCTTTTTTATATCATGCATGTATACATATATATATATATGCACATGTACACATATAAATATATATATACATACATAAAGAATTGTAAAATTTCATGGTTCCTCTGAGGAGTACCAGCTTCTCTACAAGTGAGTTTCAGACTTCAGACTTTGGCCAGGATAGAGAAAATTTCTCTCTGTGTACACATTCACTACAGCCTCTCCTTGCTCTTCAGGCACACAGTCCCCAGCTGCCGGGGTGAAGATGCTAAGGGGAAGGACCGTTGCTGGTATGAAGGGACCCTTCATGATGGCAACCCAATTATTATTTACCTCCATGGCAGTGCAGAAAGCAGGTCAGTGCCTTTGCTTGGAAAACTATTATTACTTCTTTTTGAGAGAGAGAACATTTTAGTTTTGTGGGAGAATGAAGGGCAGGGCTTAATTTTCAACTCTGTAAGCATGCCTCCACATATAGTTTTTTCCCTTTGTTGAGATCTGGACATTTCTCTTAAAAGATCATTTTATATGTAGAATAACATGGATCCTTAACTGAGAGGGTGAATAAAGTAACCTCAAAATTTGGATATTGATTTTAAAGGAGGCAGTGGGTCCTTTACTCCCTAAGAGTGTGTGAAATAATGGATTGGCTGCATGGATGACCTGAAAGAGGATACACATGTATTGTAGAGGAAAAAGCCAATTCCACACCAACAGTCTTTCCTGAAATCTACAGTGGAGATTTTATTAGCGTTAATTTTATTAATCAAAAATATG